GAAGTGGGGGCTGCCAAGGACGAGGCTGAAGACCTAAAGCTCGAGCTTGAACAGCTCAAGAAAGATTTTGGGGCTAAGGTTGAGGAGCTCGGGCTTCAGCAATCGAGGACTTTAAAAGGTCCGAGGAGATGGATAGGCTGAAGGGCGAGTATGTGTTAGGCTCGTACCTTCATGCCCTTAAAGAAGCCTAGGCCTTCCTCAGGATGAAGATGCCCGAGGTTGACCCTGAGGAGCTGAAAATGATCTCTGACATAGCTGAGACCCTCGAGCTGTCTGATTCCGACAACACAGTCGATGGTGTGATCGAGGATGAGGATGCGCTCGAGGATGGTGACACTGCTCCCGGGGATGACCAAGAATAGAACATCCTAGGCCCCCGCCCTGTTTATATTTACCCATGTACATTGCCTGGCCTTGTCCTTGGGCTTTTTTGAAAAGAATATTTTTGAAATGAATGCTCGATTTTGTCTTGTTGTCTATTTTCCGTTATGCTCGATAACAAACATCGATATTTCATTAAAGTCGTATGTCGATGTTTTAGTTTAGGAATTTTGCCAAGTAATGAACTCGATCATGACCACGATAACGAGCTTTTAACATTTAACCAGACAACTGAATGGGGATTGTAAACTGCTCAAAAAATCTTGATGACATAATCCATATGATGTTTCAGATCAAGTCAATATCTCGATCCCAGGGTCATTCCTTAACATGGAATTATCTCGAGGACTAATTTGTAAGATGACAATTGTAATTAAAGCTCTATCTTAACGTCATGCAAGACATTGAAATTATCTCGATGACTAAATTGTAAGATGACAATTGTAATTAAAGCTCGATCTTAACATTGGGTCTTTATCCCGAAGATTTTGTTAAGGGGATCGAGCATGGATCGGACGTTCAAAATAAATAAGCTCGAGCTTATCACCTTTGATGACTAACCTTTGTTCTCTTGCTCTTGAAGTCAAGGGCAGTCTCGACCTATGATGTGTGATTCCCGAGCTAGATCCCCGAGGACAATTCGGGCATTTTTCACAAGTTTCATAACCATTGTGCTCGGGATTCTGTGTGCTTGGGAATTTTACTTGGGATTTGTCTGCCCTGATTGGTATCTCATATGTGCTTACGAAGGGCAAGGTTTGAGTTGCTTGCTCGGGGCAAGGCTTTGATTTGCTTGCATGGGACAAGGCTTTAGTTGCTTGCCTGCGGGCAAGGCTTTTGTTTGTAGGTCATCGAATTTAACTTTAACTGTAATAAATTCTATAAATTGTCTTGGCACTCAGGCCTTATTGAAAAAAAATTGACTTGGCACGTAGGCCGAAAAATAAACTTGGCGCGAAGGACGAAAAATAAACTTAGCACGAAGGCCTTATTGAAAGAAAATAAATTGACTTAGCACATAGGCCTTATTTCCAAAACGTGGTGGAGCAGGTTACTTGTAATATACTTTTAAGTTACCGACATTCCACGGTCTTGGGAGTGGTCTTCCCGAAGTGTCCCTCAAACTATATGCAACTCTAGGGAGTTGTCGTATGACTTCAAAGGGTCCTTACCAAACCGATCCCAATTTTCCCGGAGCATGACCAGCGGCTTCAGCCTTTCTCAGCACCAAATCTCTAGCTCTGAATCTTCGTGACCTCACCCTTCTATTGAAATACTTTGCTGTTCTATCTTGGTAAGAGGCTATCCTCAAGGCTGCCGGTCGCGAACTTCTTCCAAGAGGTTGAGATGTTCAGTGGTGTGCCCTGCTTCTTCGAGATTAAGTATTCTTTAGCTGGGTAATCTTATTTCAATGGGAATGGTAGTTTCGATTCCAAAAGCTAACATGAAAGGGGTCTCCTTAGTGGCAGTTTTGTGGAATGTTCTATATGTCCAAAGAATGGAAGGCAATTCGTCGGACCAAGGACCTCTTGCATCTCCTATCCTTGTTCGGAGGTCTTGTAATATGATCCGATTAGTGACCTCGGCTAGGCCATTACTTTGGGGATGAGAAACTAACGTCGGGCGGTGGTCAACCCCTAGGTTGGAACAGAAATTCTTGAATTGTATGTTGTCAGACTGCCGGCCATTATTAGTTATGAGGACCTTTGGTATTCCGAACCTGCATATGATGGACTTTCAAACAAAAGCTCTTATCTTAGGCTCTGAGATTGTTGCCAAGGGCTCGGCCTCAACCCACTTTGTAAAGTACTCCACTGCTATAACTACAAACTTCAATTGTCCTCTAGTTATTGGAAACGGGCCGAGTATATCGATCCCCCATTGCTCGAACGGGGCTGAGAAACAAATGTTGGTAAGGTCCTCTGCGGGAGAATGGATAACATTGCCAAAGCTCTGGCATCGCACTTATCACATTTCTTCACATATTCCATAGCATCCTTCTTCATAGTAGGTCAGTAATACCCGTACCTTATGAGTTTGAAGGCTAATGCCCGAGCTCCTTGATGGTTCCCGCATATCCCTTCATGAACTTCCTCTAGGGCTTGAGAGGATTCCGTAGGCTTAAGGCACCTAAGGTACGGAAGTCTGAGGCTTCTGTAAAACAAGACCTCATCAATAATGTAATATCTTGGAGCTTTTGATCGGACGAGCCTTGATGCCCGAGGGTCTTTTGGAAGGTTGCCATTTGTTATGAAGTCTATAATTGGGTCCATCTATGATGGGTCGTGATCAATGTCCATGACCCCAACAGTTGAATTGGTGCTAGGCTCGGTCACAAATTTGACATGTACTATCCTATCAAGTCCATCTACTCCCATGAACACCAGTCCTAATAAGGCATCTACCTTGCAGTTGTCAGCCTGGGCAATCTTCACAATTTCACACCTCTTTAATTTTCGTTGGAGATCATGAACTTTTAAGCAATATAAGCTCATTTTCTCATCTTTCTTCTTAAACATTCCGTCAATCTGCCCCACCACCAGTTGGGAATCACTAAAGATTTTTGATGTTTTGAAGTTCGAGATTAATGGCAAGTTCTATGGCTATGATGACCTCATACTCCGCCTCATTGTTGGTTGTCTCGAATTCGAACCTGAGTGCACACTGAATGTCCATGAGCATGTTCGGGCTTGTTATGATGACCCATGCGCCCGAGCTCGAGGAGTTTGATGCTCCATCCATGAAAATTTGCCAAACATCTGTTGTGGTGCTCGAGATCTCTTCTGGCCCCCGAGGCCTTAGGGTGAGTTCTGCAATAAAGTCCACTAAAGCTTGGGCTTTGATGGATGGACGGGGCTTGAACTCTATGTCAAACTCCCCGAGTTCAATTGCCCACTTTAGTAATCTGCCTGAGACGTCTGGCTTTTGAAGGATGTGTTTCAGAGGCTGATTGGTGAGCACTACAATGGGGTGAGATTGAAAATATTGTCGAAGCTTTCGTGCTGCCACTATTAGGGCAAGAGCAAGTTGCTCGGCCAAAGTGTACCTGGTCTCCGCATCAAGTAGGACTTTACTCACGTAGTAAATGGGTTGCTGGGCTCTATTGACCTCTTTTATCAAGACGCCGCTTACAGCGTTTTGAGACATGGTTAAGTATAATAATAAAGTATCCCCGGGCTCAGGTTTAGTGAGGATAGGAGGAGACGCTAATGTCTATTTAAGCTCCTGAAAAGCCTTTTCACATTCCTCATTCCATTCAAAGGATTGGCTGCCTCTAAGAACTTTGAAGAAAGGGAAGCACTTATCTGCTGCTCGGGACATGAACTTGTTTAAGGCTGCTACCCTCCCTGTTAATTTTTGCACTTCTTTCTTGGTTTGGGTGATTCCATTATTGCCAAGGCCTGGATCTTATCGGGGTTAGCTTCTATCCCCTGATGAGTGATCATGAAGCCTAAAAATTTTCCCGAAGCTATACCGAATACACATTTTTCTGGGTTGAGCTTCATCCGATATTTTCGTAGGATGGCGAACACCTCATCCAGGTTGGATATGTGTTGCTCTACCTTCTTACTCTTTACAACCATGTCATCAACATAGGCCTCGATGTTCTTCCCTATCAAATTAGCGAAGACTTTGTTGATGAGCCTCTGATATGTCGCCCCAGCATTTTTCAACCCAAATGGCATCACCCTATAGCAATGTATGGCTGAATCAGCCATGAATGAAGTCTTCTATTGGTCTTCTTCAGCCATGAGGATTTGTTGTGACCCTAAGAATGCATCTAAGAAGCTGTACAGCTTATGTCCGAATGTGCTATCCACAAGATTGTCAATCCTAGGTAACGGGTAGCTGTCTTTTGGGAACGCTTTATTGAGATCTGTGAAGTCGATGCAGACCCTCCATTTACCACTGGCCTTCTTCACAAGAACAACATTAGCGAGCCAATCGGGGTATTGGACTTCCCTTATGAACCACGCTCTCACCAGTTTGCCGACCTCCTCCTGAATGACCACACATCTTTCCGGCGCAAACTGCCTCTTCCTTTGCTTAACAGGTTTGGCCCCCGGGCTTATATTGAGTCTATGGACTGCTACTTCAGGGTCTATCCTCAGCATATCCTCAACCTTTCATGCAAAAACATCGATGTTGCGGGACAGACAATTGATGACTTCCTCCTGGAGGCTGGCCTTGAGATCCCGACCAATAGTTACCATTTTTCTGTACTCGAGCTCGACCACTTCCAATTCCTCAACGGGGCAAGTCTACCCATTGGCTTGTGCTCGAGCTTGAGATCTGAAAGTTGCATGACGTCTGTACTCATTCCTCGGATGCTAGTAATATAGCACTGTCTGGCAGCTGTTTAGTCCCCTCGAACTACTCCGATGTCATGGCCTGTTGGGAATTTCATGGCCAGGTGGAAAGTTGATACAATGGCCTGGATCTTATTTAGTAGGGGCCTTCTAAGAATGATGTTGCAAGCCATAGGGGTATTAACCACTTGGAATGGTGTGATCTCCGTCACTTGTGTAATACCCTAATGTAAGCGGTAGCTTGACGATGCCTACAGGGATAATGACTCCACCACCAAATTCCTATAGAGGAGTTTTTACTGTTTTGAACTATTTGAGAGAGAGCCCCATTTTAGCAAAAGCCTCCTGTGATAGTATGTTTGCTGTACTGTCATTATCAACCAGAATCCACTTTACTTCAAAATTAGCCAAAATTGCAGAGACGGCCAAGGCATCGTCATGAGGATATGATACTCCTTCCAAATCTCTTGATCCAAAGGTAATGTCTTCAAATTTATCACGGGATTCCTTTGAGGTATGAGCATGTTGGCAGACATATTGCTTTCGCCCACTATTTATGTCTCCTCCAGATGCTATGCCTCCAATGATAATATTAATGGTCCCGGCAGTGGGTTGAGCACTGCTTCTGGCTCTAGGCTCTTTTCGGTTGTCACGGTCATTCCTCAGGCATTTATCATGACCAATGTAATTTTTTAAGAGTCCTCTTTTAATAAGGGCTTCAATCTCCCGCTGCAAGGCTTGACAATCTTCCGTGGTATGCCCATGATCCCGATGAAATTCATAATACTTGCTCCTATCTCTTGTGTCAAGGGCGACTTCATTCTTGAAGGGCACTTTAATTCTTTCATATCTTTGATCTCCATTAAGATATTTGCCTTGGATGTGTTTAATCGGGTGAGGGGCCCTGGTGGACCTTCATTCTTGCACTTTTCCCAAGGATATTCCCAATTGATGTGTTTAATCGGATCATGTTGCTTCTTGTTCTCAACCTTTTCATGGGAAGGACCATGTCTCATTGGATTCAGTGTTTCCTCCATATTAATGTATTTTTCAGCTCGGCTGAGGAGCTCGGTCACTGTTTGCGGTGGGATCTTTGATAAGGACATCTTGAAAGCTTCACATCTTATGGCATAAGTGAGGGCGGAGACAGCCGTTGTGATGTGAAGGTCGGGCATTTGAAGTTTTTCTTTGTTAAACCTCGTCATAAATCATCGCAGGGTTTCATTTGGTCTCTGGCGAAGTTGCATGAGAGAGGCCGCAGTCTTTCTGATTTGCTTGCTACTTGCAAAGAAAGCTGAGAACTTATCAGCCAAATTTGAGAATGAGGCTATGGAGTTGGGTTCCAATGTCGAGAACCAATCCCTAGCAGCATTAGTCAGTGTTTGCGGGAAGGCTTTGCACATAACCTGATCCGGCGTAACTTGCAAATTTATGACATCAGTATATATATTGAGATAGTTGATTGGGTCTGTCGTCCCATCATACTCTTTAATGTGAGGATATTTGAATTTGTCGGGCAGGGGATATGACAGTATCTCCGGCGTGAATGGAGTGTTAGGGGTAAAACCCGTTGGCCCCCGAGCATTCCGTTTCAGGCCAGCTGTAATTCCTTCTTGAATGATTCGGGCAATCTCACCGGAATCCATGGCGACCGATCTCAAGCCCGAGGCCATGTTGCTAATACCCAAGGTTTCTACTCCGTTAGTTGCGGGGTTCGATGGTCGAGCTCGAGCATCAGCCATAAAACCACCATGTTCTACCTCCACTGGTGACGGATGCGAATTTCTTTGATTTAACAGTTGCGTGAGTGTGGCTACCTGCTGACAGAACTCTTCAAAGGCTTCGGTTGTGATGACCGTGGGCAGAGGTGCGAGCACTCTTGACGACTCTTCTTAAGGAGCTGGTTGATCTTCAGCAGGATAAGGGATGTGAGCGAATGAGCTTGTGGGAGGAAGACCTGATCGCGTGTTGACCATGGCTTTTGGTAGCGTTTCCCATAGACGGTGCCAATGATGCTACCGAAAAATCGCACCTGGTGATTTTCTGAGCTTGAGAATTTTGGATGAGCATGATCGTAGTCTTCTGGTACCTGAAACAAAAGCAACAAGGTATGTTCTCGTCACCCATCCGATGCTTAAGTCAGAAAGGGAATTATGCACGTAAGGCTATAAACTGAAAAATAATGGAAACGTACCTGATCAATGACCCGTGGTCCTATATTTATAGTAGTAAGCGACATTCTCCTAGTGGGACTCAACTAGTTGGGTATCTCTATCCGACAAAGTCCTATTAGGCGAAAGAATTGGACCAATGCCATAATTATGCCTGGGATAGAATCCTTGCGGGAGTCAACAATATGGTTGAGTTAGAGTCCCAATTACATATGAATTCTAAAGGGTTAACAATCATAGGCTATGAGGAGAACATATACTCGAGGACTACTCATGCTCGAGGACATATATCATAACATGTTAAAGTAGCAAAGCTGGAAGTGCTCGAGCATTATACCCCCGGGAAGTATATGCTCGAGCACTTAATGTGTGGAATCGCAAGTTTATTTAAAAAAAGGTCATCGAGATGAATGATCGAGCATAACCAAACTTTCCATATTACTAATCAATCCGAAATGTTATCATGTGCTTTACTTATATCAGCTGAATCAAAAGTGTTAAGTCCGGCATCGACGTATTGAAACATGTCATCGACTGCAACGTCTTTATCAATTCTGTTCATCTATCACTAGTCTACCACATCCCATTAACCACTCTGCAAATGTCCAATGAATCTTTCCCATTCTTAACTTCCACGATTTGTTTATCCTCAATTAGCACACACTAAAATGGCCTTACAAACGATTTTCTTGATTCTCTCACTCTATTAGATTTCAGGTTTATCTTTATCGAGTTGAAAGTGAATTGATTAAATGAATGTGTTGGGTTTTTGATACCCAATAATCCCGGGCGATGATGTTAAACAGTGTCGGGTAGTCGGATGAGATTTCATAGGCTTCAGCCGATGATTGAAATATTTATTAACACACTCGATTAATTGGCTCAACCCGAAAAACAACTTGAGGGTCGTTTGAAGCAACTTAATATAGTTAATGTTGCTCACGGCCCATTTATTTCTTGGATGGCTCAATTTGTGTTCCGCCTCCTTTAACCATTAGTTGGTCCATGAGCCCACTATATTATTACACCCTAAAACTAGATATTGCCCTCGTTTTGTTGAATGAGCTGTGTGTTTGCAAATGAAAAGAGGTAGCCGACATTTTCTCTTATTTTCTCTCTTGAGCCTTAAAACTGAATCTGTCTTCCTCTATTCTTGGTGATTCATTGCAGCCACCATATTGTGTTCTTTGTGAACACATTGAGTTGAGCAACCAAAGTAAGAATCCTTGTTTGGGTTGGAGCCATTGTTGGGTGTGTTTAATAAGGTAGAGATTGGTGAAACTGAGCTCGAAAAATCCACCATCGGAGGTCGATTATTCAAAAAAACAGTTTAATATTTGTACCATTGTGAAAGTAATAGCCAGAGATTAGTTAATAAGTTGTTCTGCACTTGTGGAAATGGCTTTGTCCTATTATTATGTGTCAGTCCTGTATTCTCCCCCATATGTTTTTATTTTAAATGACATTATTACCTCAATATATAAAATAACAAATTTCTTTCAAAGTTTAGGTACAGATCTATGTGGTGATGGTGTGGTATACAGATTTGCGTGGTGGTGGTGATGAGGTAGTAGCAGCGATTTGGATAGTGTCAGTGGTGGTGGGGTCGGATGAAGAGCGATTGTGATAAATTATTTGAATGATTGTGATCAACAAAATGAATAATTTGTGATCAATAAATATTCTATGACCTTAAAAATGAGTGACTTATGACTAAATTGTAATTGTGACTCACAATTTGTATCTTTGAAATAGTGACGTTCGATTCGTGATTATTGTGTGACTATGACCATAACTAGTGTGTTATTGTGATCATGGCCTGTTTAATTAATTAATAAATTACAAAATTGTTATCTGGTGGTCACCTGATTTTTGAAACTTTTTGTAAGTTTTTTGAAAGTGTATCTTGAAATATTTGTAGGTGCATATTTCTTTCCATTATATAATGAATGGGAATACTTGCCAACCAAAAAAAAAGAGTCAAAATTATGACTAATAATCAATCAACATGGTTTAATTATCATTATTGACTCTTACAATACAATCAAAATGTATTTCATGAAGGAATTGGATTATAAATTTAGAATATTGTTCGTAAAAGTATACGTTAATAAAAAATAGCAGAAATTTGTGGTCCTAGACGCAACACCTTATCCATTGACATTGAATAGTTTTCTTGTGCTTCTAACCATTATCTTAAGTCTAAACTATGAGAATAAAGCTGTATGAATTTCAAGATAGGTTCATTGCATCTAACGTCCGACATTCATTTTCCTAATCCCACCAAGAATCTAAAATACTCCAAAATGCAAATTGGACAAGAATCGACAACTCTATCATTGAGGGCCGTGGAAGATTGTGTTTCTATCTTGTTTCTGATGATTTTTACCCAACTTTAGCTGGTTCTTGATTGCAAGATGCACTTATCGATTCCTTTCTTGTACGAACACGAGCAAACCATTTTTGACTGTAGCGGCGAGGCCCGGCATGAACTTAAGGGTCTGATTCGGTTTAGCCATTTGGATATCAAACTGCCTAATCAAAGACAAAGCAACAGTTTTCATTTCCACCAATGCCATTTCTTTGCCCAAACAAACCCTAAGCCCGGCCTGAAATACTGGGTACTTGAAAGGATTTACTTGCTTGAAAATCCCATCTTGTAACCATCTTTCAGGCTTGAATTCGAGGCAATCCGGGCCCCAAATTTTTTCCATTCTCCCCATTGCATAGGGATGGTATGTAACCCTAGTACCTTTCGCTACAAAAGTACCATCAGGGAGAATATCATCTTCTTGACAGAACTTTGAATCAAATTGCACAGGTGGAAATAGCCTCATGCTCTCATGCACTGCTGCTTGAAGATAATGCATTTCCCTTATTTGCTCAAAACTTGCAAGATCCTGAGTTTTCGACCCCATTATGCAGTCTGATTCTTCGCGAATAGCCAGCCTGACATCGGGATGATTTGATAATAACCAGAAGAAAGTGGTTAAGGCCGAGGCAATGGTATCTCGACCTGCCAGGACAAAGCTTATGATAATGTCCCTGAGGAATTTGTCATCGTCTATATTAGCCATGAATCTCGACAAAAGGTCTTCATGAGAGGAGACATCCATGTTTCTTTTGTGCTTGATGAGCTCCTCAGCTAGGATATTAACCGATTTAATGGCTTCTTTCAGTTTCTTCTCAGTGCCTAAATTGAAAAATCTTTTGGTTTTCCAGATCAACGGCGATACCATCAGCGCGCGATCTGCTGATAATTTTGATGCAAGATCAAAGGCCACCGCAAATTCTGAAACAGGCAGTGACAACTTTAGGCAGCCGGGGTCTTGACCGAATGAAAATTTGCAAATACTATCGAATGAAAATCTTTGAAACACGTCTTGTAAATCAAGAACGCCATTTTCTTTAGCAGCAACAGATGACAATAGAGGAATGAGCCTGGAACGAATTTCAGAGACAACAGTCTCAAATGCATATGATTTTGCAGAAAGACTACCGAGTTCTAGACAAGCCATTTTCCTCTGAAACTTCCACAAATGGCCATCAACATTAAAAATCCCTCTCCCCAGAAGATCACCCAAAATGGAAGAAAATGTCTTGCCTTTTGGGTAATTATCAAACCTTGTTTTGAGCATGTATTCAACATTTTCTGGATTGGCAGTGATAATATTTCCAAGAACATGAACACGAATCGTTCCGGTTTCCGATTTCTGTAGAAGATTAGAGTACCAATCACACAAATTACTGAATTCCGAGGACCACCTTGTACTGACAAAACTTTGACAGATTTCACAGCTACACCATGGCTTCAATCTCAGAGCAAAAACCGAAAGAGAAACAATCAAGAGACCTGCTATAGAAGTGGAGAACAAGAACAAACGTAACCATGTTAAAGTTTCAAAAACCATTGTTATAGAATAAACGAAGGATCTAAGAAAGATGCAGGAAAAAATGAGATTGATGAACATCAATGTCTGGCTATGGTTTTATATTGTTGGAATGTAGCCTAGTCTCATTTTCAGTATAAAATATTCGAGATCATTTCTCCTACTCATAAATTTGACATATCATGACCTTTTATATTAGTCAATCCAAAGCGTGTCATAACCACTTGAGATTCATAAAATATTGAGGGTTGAATTTACTTAAATTAAATGTCACAATTATTTGTCAAATAAGTGTGTCAAATTTATGAGTTGAAGGAACGATTCCGTAAAATATTTGTGTATTCTTATAAAGAGCAAGGAAAAAACTGATTGTACAGAAATTTTTTCACAGAATTCCACCAACATAGAGATAATTGTGTGGGCCCTATGCTATATAAAAAATGTCAAAAATGTGTGTGGACCTTAAACTGTGAGTTATCTGTATATATTATGTCAAACATGTAGAAGCATTCAAAGAGCAGTTGCTTTCCGAATTTGACACCTAGTTTCTGCACGAGGAAATAGGCTCAAATAACGCGTGCGTTAAATAAAGTAAACTGACATGTAGCCGCTTTTGTACGTCATGTCTTATATCATACGACACTTGAGATCATGTCCATTAATTATGACAAAGGAGATTGCAATTAATTTAATACTTTATACTTCAATAAATGGGTCGAGTAGAATCTGCGATCGGGTTGCAAGAAATCTGTATTAATTTGATTACAATACATTAAGGATTAATTATAGATTATTTTTTGAAGAATCTGTTTCAAATCATTTAAGGGCAAAACCATTCCATCTTCGGTAATACATCAAAAATGCTAAGAAATATGAATTTGGATAATCTTATCAAACCCGAACTTTTTAAAATGGAATTTTAAATTTTAATACAATATTAAAATTTAGGAAAATGCAATGTGGCCAGGCTCGGGGACCAACTCGGGGACAGGGTGCCGAGGTGGCAATACCTAGACCATTGGATTTGAAAAAAAAAAATGAAGTTGAAATCGAGGGCTGAGGTGATGCCCCTGTCCCCGAGTCGGTCCCCGAGGTGGGCACTGTAGCACGGTTGTAAAATTTATAATGTTTAAACAAAGTCAAAGTTCTTAATTCAAATATTATATTTCTAAACTGTTGAAATCTTTGACTATGACCAAGTTACACTAAGGTCCCGTTTGATACACATTAATGTAAAAATAAGAATGAAAAATATAGTTGTTACGGAACCCGAACAAGAGATAAAAAGTCAAATATGATGATTTGATGTGATGGATAATTGTCATATTTTTCATTTTAATGGTCAAATAATGGGAAACAAACAGGAGCTGAATATAGAATAAATAAAGTGTTGGAGCTTCATCCAATCGAACACATCCTTAATTTTCCATAAATTCTTACATTTTCCAGAAAGGGAAAAAAAAATAATTAATAAAGCTAAACTTTGGCTTATTGAATTTTTAATCTTTAAGAACAGAAAATGTGTCGAGAGTTTAGTCGCCTAAATGACTTTTGTATTCCTCTCAACAAACAAATTATGAATTCGCATTATTCTTTTGACAAATGGAACCGGTCATATCTTTGACTTTTTTAAAGGAGCGAAGTGGTTCTAATTTGAATTCCATTAGGATAAAATTTATTTAATATTTATGTACAATTCAAAATTTCATGTACAATAAATTATGTATTTAGCCATCAAGCACTAATTTCTCCACCTTGAATCTTTGAAATAAGGTGGTTTAGCATAATCTATAATATATTAAAATATTACATCGAGGCAGAATAATTTTCTGGACGATTTCAACCACTCTACAATTCAAATATTTCAATCATACCTTATTTTTCGTTTTTTGATATGTAATAAGTACTACATAATTATTGTTATTTATGAAACTTGTATTATTAATTCTCAATTAATTAACTTTCACATTAATCTAGATTCAATGAATTTTCATTTGATGAATCTTGAATTACATAAATCTAGAATTATTACAGATAAATTTATTCATATTCATGTATTAAGAAATTTTAACGGTGTTTAAATTTATGTATTACTAATTAATTTTTATGTAACAAATGTAATATAAAAAGATTGCTCAATTATGATATTTCATCATTACAAAAAAAATTGAATTATAGAAATTGAGAGTGCAATTTTATTCTCTTAAATTTTTATGCTAAATTTTATTTTCTTTAATTTGTCCGATACTCATCAAATCCTTCAACAAATTGGTACCAAAAATTATTTTTACATTACTTATAAAGTATTTTAGAATAACGTGCATTCAACTTTGACTAGTATTGAAAAAAATAGATTAAAAAATTTTATTCAAGTTATAACTACTGTTGTCAGTTGTCAGACTTTCAATGACAAAATAAATACGATTTTATGTGCATTAATTAATGATGTATTAACGAGTTCAGAGCTGTCACCAAATTAAATATTGATATCTAATTCAAAATTGAATTATGTGTCAATATATAATTGGACAGCTATAAAAAATAGTTAATTAGGGACAAAATATGTGAACTTCATATCCATCACAACTTCGATTGAATCTTAAAAATTGCAAAATCATAGCTATCCACGTTAAAACCATTAGGTAAAATGCTTTAAATATTATACAAGGATTGCCCACTTCCATTATTCACGCACTCACACCTCATTAGGACACGTGATGATCTTATAGAATATATTTTTCGTAGTGTTATCTCTTTGGTTATTTTTATCTTTTATCAAAACTCAAAAATTGATCTTAAAAATAATATTTTTATGTCACGAGCTTAAATTTTTGTTTTTAGGAAGTTTTTATAATAGGAATTTTATTTAAGAAATATATGATTTTAAAGAGACAAAAAGAAATGAAATAGGGGTGGGCTGAGTTATTTGGCAAAATTATAGCTTGTTTGGGAGTTTTATTGATTCCTCGAAAATCAACACTTGGGAGACCAGATTTTCTTGAATTTATTCACTCTTCATCGCTTTTCTTTGAGTAATACTATTTAGCCACACCGAGGTTACGACCCCAGTTTATGTGGCACTAATATGACATTAATTGATAGGTAGAATTAAATAATTCATTTAATTTCACATTTCATTTAAACTATTAATTAGTGCTATCTAGATTGAAGTTTTAATACCAGTGGGGTTACATAACATTATTCATTTTCTTTTGATATTTTTATTTTTTCAATATGAAAAATTTGTAGTGTTCGTATCATTTAATGACGACCCTAATCTTAAAAATGCATATATTTTTAGATTTTAAATAAAGTAAAATTAGCCTAAAATTTCATTATTTCAATGTCATATTCAGGAAAATTAAATTCTTTATTATATATATGAAAAAAACCTTCAAAAATGTGTGTATAATTGCTGCTTCAATTCAGATTCTTGCTTAAAAATTATGCAAAGAAACTTTGTTTCACGATTTTTATTATTTTAAACGACAAAACACGCCGCCTCTTAACACTTTTCGAATATTGAAAATCTGCTCATCTTTGATTAAGGATGTTTCTATATCTTTTGAACACTTTTAGCAAGTGGGTAGGCAGTTTTTCTGCTAGGGTGGGCAGGCAGAAAAACATGTTAATATGAATTTGAATATAACTTGTTCGCAGCCACAATTCCAATTTCCACCAAAGTATTCGTACTTAATTTGTTTTGACTGTTATTGTTGATTGTCGACATAAGCACATTTTTCACGTTTTTAAATAAGAAGACAAAAGAAGAAACCTCATGTCTATGCCTACATAGTGAAATTGAATAACAATGACCTTTGGCTATTTGAATACGTTGTGGTTCCTAGCTGTGCTAAAGCTGCGGATTTGACCTCGTGCATGGAATGGCGCCGCGAGAAAATTTGGGATTTTAGTCTCCATGTCGGCCATCACATTTTTTTTGTAAAAAAAGAAATAGAACAAATTACGGGTCTATTTGGTAATGATTATGAGAATTAATTTTTAGACTGTTAAAAGGAAAAGTGAATTTTACCTGTAAGTAAAGAACTAAAACATAATGGCTGAAATAGTGAATAACATTCAAAAAATTAATTTTTTGATGAAAAATTGCTACTAAACGAGGATTGCATAAACATGTTGGGAAATAAAACGAAACGAAATAATATATATATATATATACATGATTGCAAACAAATAAAAAGATAAAACTCAAAAATTTAGTTGATAGAGGAACGAAATATTTTATTCAATTGACTAAGAGCAACTTCAAGAAACTCTTTAAATACAAAATATTCTTTATTTTAGAGAGACAATGCTTAAAAAGAGTCTTAAGAGACTCTATTTTAACGTTTTAAAGTACAGAATGTGTTTGACTCTCCAAATTTAGAGAGTTAAACGCACTCTTTATTCTTAATGTACAATGATTGCATTTAATACATTACAAATTTTAATACTTTATAATTTAAATTTTTTAAATTACATTTGAATTGATTGGTCATTAATATATATAAAAAAATATTTAAATAAAATATGTGGAGAAATTATTATATGTTCATTGGAAAAAACAAAATAAAAAATCAAAATAGAGATTTTGTTGAAGTGTATAAAAAAATTACTCTCTAAATTTAAAGATACTCTCTATTATGTATAAAAAGCTCTTTATAAATAAATAGTATTTTGGAGATGTTCTAATATGGAGAAAACACATACAATAATTGTATCTACACAATTATTCTATATTTTAATAATACAAAATTTGTGAAAAGAGTAGTATTTATAGGGTGCACGTCAAATCCTAAAAAATACCATAAAGATGAAAGCAAGATAAAAAATCACATGAAACAATATTTTTCATATAAAAACTCGTGGAATAAAAAAATAATATTTTTTCAAAAGAAGTACGTGTAATAAAAAGGAAACAATATTTTTAAAAAAATTAAAAAAAAATCAACCTAATTTGGGTAAAAAAAAAAAAACCCCAACCATCACCACATTAACACAAATTTCTATATAGTGTAATATTTTTATTAATACTTAATTTAAAAAACTAAATATATCTAAATATTTTTGTCACGCTGATTTTCACATTGAATTGGTTTGAAATTGGTTTGGTCATCTAAATTTGACATACAATACTCT